TGCCTAGAAAAGGGACATCAAAGCCACTGCAAGCTTGGCTTTGATGCAGGATTCAGCTTCCCCCAACTAGAGGCCCGAAAAAGAGGGTACCAGGAAGGGGTCGCATTCTCTTGCTGGTTTTTCCATTGATTGACTTTACCAGGAAACCACGATTCCAGTTGACGCATTCCATGAAGCTCATTCTGCCAAGACCTAGAGCAAATTGGCGCTGAGAATGGATGTCCAGTGTGTATGTCTTGCTTCCTGTATCAAACTGATTGGTTCTCACCATTTGTCAAGAATACTGACTTTCAGGTTCTCCCAGGTCTGGAACCAAGAAGTACATTTCCTTCCTGTGACTCTGAGGAGACTGTATCTAGGCTCCTGCACTTTGAAAATCCCCCCAGTCAGCTCCCTTCTGTATCTAAATTTGCTTGGCATGTCCCATGTAATGTTTCTATTCTATCATCTTTCCAGGTATGATAAACATGAAATGCAAGGTGTTTTTAAGTTAGGAAATACAAGGCAGCATGACTTTTTGTTTCCTTGAACAGATTAGCATGTATTTGCATAGCTGTTATCTAATATCATTGGGGTGTATCTCTGGAAAATCCAATTAGTAAAGAAATTTAAGCTTGCTCAAAGCACTTAGTGTTACTTTAGAAAAAGACAGAAAGAAAGGGGGTAAGGGTTTGGAATGACTGCTCCATGGAGGATATAATCCCAGATTGCAAGTGTTTCTCCTAGGGGTGGCAGGTGTAACCAAACATGAATAGGGAAATTAAATACTGAAACACAGGTTTTCAAAAATCTTTTCTAAGCAACTATTTTGTGTCAGGCTTATGGGAAAAATAACTCAGTTGGATGGTATCCAGTCAACAGAGACATTTGGTTCTCAGTGACAACAGAAAAGTGAATCTTACATTGAGTTAGTAACACCACTTCCCTCATCTTCCTTCCACGTTGGGCACAGAAATTCACATGTTACCGTCGGGAATCAATTCTTGGCAACAAAGAGTAAGTGAAAGAAACTCCCCAACTCTCCCCGTTCATTCACTCTGAATGCAGTCATTCTCACTGCTCTTGCCACAGAGCAAATGTGCTACTACCCTTTTCTGAACTCAAGATGGAAAATGCCAAGGCCTGATCCTGTCCAAAGAGGTCAATCTGCACGTGACTACGCAGCCATCATGAGAAAGTAAAGGGAGGCATTGGATCCTTGATCAGGCCACTTACCAAAGGGCAAAGTTTCCAAACTCAATTGATCTGTTTATTTGCTAATTCATCATATCAATATTCTTTCTACTCCCACCTCCCACTTGAAAAAACTCCAAGATCAGGGGCCCGTTCCATTCCTCCGTTGACTAAGTGCCTGCACACAAAGGGAAGCTCACCAAGTGAAGAGAAATGCATTGTGCATCAGCCATGGCTCCAGCTGCACGCTAAGGCTGTATGGCCCCACTGGTACAAACCCATCCCACAATAAGGAAGATGTTCATGAAAATAAAAGCAGTACTAGCAAATCCTTACTGAATGTCATGCTTGGCCCTGTGTTCTTCAAGGCATTATCAATTCAGCCCTAAAACTCAATCCTATAAATATTCTATTATTATGAGGAAACTGAGACACTGAGCAGGTATGCTATTTTCCCTGGATTATGAGTCCAGTAAGAGAAGTCAGACTATGAACCCAGATAAAACCAGGCACTCACTGCTAGACTCTGAACGTCCAACCAATGAGGAAGCTACTCACAAAACTGCATCACAGAACATAAAAAGAGAGAAAAAACAGAGTTAAAAATAACCAGAAAGATCAAAATGTTTTTTAAAAAGTAAAATCGGAAGAGAAATTTAAAAATAAATAAATAAAAGAGCTCCTGGCATGGTAGCCTAGTGACTAAAGTCCCAAAGCCTTGGTACCCTGCACCCACGTGGGAGACCTCAAAGAAGTTTCTGGCTGCTGGCCTCAGATTGGCTTAACTCTGGCCGTTGTGGCCACTTTGTCTCAACTTCTCTCTGTAAATCTCACTTTCAAATAAAAATAAATTTTTTTAAAAAAAGAAAAGAAAGAGAAAATGATGAGGAATTCCTTCCAGATGCTAGCTGTGGTGTTTGCATGTCAGGGAAAACAAGCGAACAAAAGTATTCTGTTTTTAAATGTTTTGAAAGTGCACCATCTTAGAACTCAGCAAGTTCTTTACAATCAGATGAGTGGTTGAAAGTGTTCTTCTCAACATTAATAACCCAGTACAAATGATATGTTACTTTTCTTATCCATACAATTGCCGTTTTTCTTTTAAAATATTTATTTATTTTTATTGGAATACAGATAAGGAAAAGAGAAAAATCTTCCATCCACTGGTTCATGCCCCATGTGGCCGCAACGGCCAGAGCTGTGCCAATTTGAAGCCAGGAGCCAGGAGCTTCTTCCAGGTCTCCCACGCGGGTGCAGGGTCCGAAGGCTTTTGGCCGTCCTCAACTGCTTTCCCAGGCCACAAGCAGGGAGCTGGATGGGAAGTGGAGCAGCCTGCCCATGAATCAGTGTTCATGTGCAATGTTGGTACAAACAGGAAGAGGAGCAGCAGGTGAGCCATCGCACTGACCCCTACAATCATCTTTTGATCACTGTGTTTTTATCAGAACCCACCATATACAGAAAGAAAGGACGATATTGAGATGTGACAGGATGTGATTAAAAAACTGAACACAAGCAGGTGTAGGTTTTGAAAAGGGGAGAGAACACTACACAGGTGTCAGATTCTGCCTCTCGCAAAACTTGCAGAAGAGAGATTATTTTTTTCCTTCAGGACATTAGACATCGATGTACAGAAAGCAACAACGGCTTCATGGGAACATCATTTCCTCTGTTGCTCTGCCCAGGGTGAGTGCATGGTGAGAATGAGGGCAAATGAAAAACCCCAGAAGGACCGCGATGGTGAGAAGTGGAAGAGGATGACTCAGAACAATTTCTTCATTATTAAAGCATTTATTTTGGAAATAACTGCTGAGTTTTATTTGTACTTGGTTCTCATCGATCTTCTCAATCTTTTCTGAAAAAGTTAACTTATTTACAGCACAATTGCTTGTCCTCTTCTTCTTTCTCAACGTGGAAGAAACAATTCCCCAGGGGCGCTGATGAAAAGCCAAAGTTGGGTTAGGAAAAAAAAAAAACAAGTGTTTTATTGGTAAGCAGGCAACTCACACCAATGAGAGGAATCGAAGAGCTTTATTTAAGTTCTCTAAAGAAAAGTTCAAGGAAGGAATATTTACTTACAATGTTGCACAAATAACTCCAAACACATAGCCATGTATTATCTGCTAGAGGCACGCAAATGGTTCAGCAAAGCATGCCAAGCAACACCCATGCCCGTTGTCTGCCACATTAGGTTCATTTGCCCCAAGGCAATGCAGCTGAGGATGGAGGGGGCCCTGCAGCCCTCCTGGTACCCTAGGATGTCTTGTAGCACCAATGGATGCCAACAGACTGTAGCTGTGTGTGGGGGGGGAGAGGGCGTATTTTATACAAACAATTATGCAAATGCAGCATTCCACACAGTATACCACCACCAGCCATGCACGTACACAAACACGAGAATACTCTAATAGACTAATACTCTAGCAGAATTATCAGGCTAGCTCTGGTGTCTCCTATCCCTTTCCGGGCATCAGAGAATTCTTGTAGAGAAGCAAGACTTAGTAATGTCCTAGTAGAATATTTAACATCATCTCTATTAACACTCGAGCACCCCAAAGTAGAACACCCCAGAAATGAAAGACACTAGTTCACAACTCACAAAGAGATTTGTCTGCACTAATTACTTCTAACTTCTAAAATGTGACCTAAGAAGCAATGAGCTTGTCTAAAATGATTAATAAGAACAATAAAATGAAAACAGTTAGCCTTCTAAGCCATGAGGCCCAGTGGTCAATTATCTACATTTCTCTTTTTGCAAATGTCAAACTAGCAAGCCTGATTACACACTTATCTTTCCCGCTCACTCCAGCTCTCACCACTGCCTAAGTGTCCTCCCATCTGCTTTCCATAGCCCGCCGTCACCGGCGAAGGGCTCCTTCACTTTGTGCTGTGTGGCAGCAGCCTGTCACATTACAAGCCCAAAGTCATCAACAAGCTCTTTTCCCTCACATACTTCCTTCCGCCCATATTCCTGCACTTCCTTGTCGGTTACACACACACAGCCATGAAGTGTGCAATATTTCTAAGAGTCTGGCAAAGCACTAGTAAGGAAAGCACACTAAACACTATCTAGACTAGCAGATTTCTTCTACTTAAACCACTCACTCTTTATCCTCATGCTTTCAAAAGTCTCTCTCTCTCTCTCTCTCTCTCTCTCTCTCTCACGCTTCATGCCAGAAACTCAAAAGCAAAGCACTAATAATGAGCCAGCACCTGTACTCTTGCCCAGCCTGTGACACTGAAGTTCTTTACTTCTGTGTTCGGATCCTCTGCTCAAAGGTCAGCCCCCAGAGGCCAGGAGTCCCGCGGCACTCATCCACGTACCTCCAGTCTCCAGCTCAAGGAGCGTGTGTTGAAAGGTCCATTTTTGACCAGTAAATGGACCAGTCTTTTGCACTCACTTCAAAATCTTTTAACTAAAAGATCTCCGTGGTTCTAACTACGTTCATGTCTTTTCTTCACTATAAGCCAGGAAACTTGCTTTGGGGTGTGACAATCACTACAGCTAAGGGGTCTTGGGGCAAGGAAGCTAATTACAAAACTTGCCATACTGAAAATTAAATGATAATGTAAACTTATTAGTGGTAAGGCAGAGAATGAGATTGGTTTTAAGAAAATGTGGGTCCCATTTTAGATATGAAGAGCTTCTCATATCATGCCTCTAATAAGAATGCTACACATATCAGACACTACTACTATATGAGTACTTTTTGAATGCCTTCTTGTATTTGAAGAATACTTAGCTTCACCCCTTAGCTTCCCTCACTACTCACTACGATATACCCATGAATAACTATAGAGTGTTTAAAAGTGTTTTGAAATCTCTGATGTGTTATAATCAACCCAAGCACTACTTTATTTATGCAAACTATGTCTAACTAGCACATGCACTTACACATCTAGGATTAGGAACTGCTGTCTCATCAGGCTTAATAAATGATTCCCTCTGGCTCTAAGAGCAAGTACTTTTTCAATGACAATGGGAGGGACAGCAAAGGAATTGCTTTGTGACATCTGTTGTTCAAAGCCTTTCGAATAGCGCATCGTGCCAAGTGCATGAGCGTCCTTGGAGAGTTGCAGCACACGGTAAAGAGAGAGTGGTAGAAATCCCAGTATTTCTGCAAAGGGAGGACAGAAGGTTCCAGTTAGAGAAGCCCCACAATGATTCCTGGAGTCCTTGCTTTACACATAATGGCAGCTTCTTAGCCTTTCGACAGTAATCCAACATTAAACATGAAATTCATGGGGGGGGGGGGTGGAGTGGAGATGGGCTTAAGGAAGCACAGATAAAGAGGAGAGAGAAGAACAAACAATACCGTACAATTCAGAACTCAGTCAGCGAAATAAAACAGACTTCTATGAGCTTCCTGTGCCACTACAGATCATGCCAGCAATTTTTAATTAATTTCAACACTATTTTATGCCTTTCATGTGCTTGGTGTGTCCCCATTATGTGCAGATGTATAGAAAGTGGTGAAGGATTGATGAAGCTTGGGCAAGTTAAGTAACTTTCAAGGTAATCCAGCTAGTCGGTAGCAGGATAAGATGGCATGTCTTCACCCTTAGCCTCTAAGCCCAGGCAAGCTTGTCCTCAGGCCTGATTCTTCAGCACATGCTGGAACTGCATGGGCGGAGCTAGTTCACGGAGGCTGCAAAGACCCAAAGTCCACCCAGCAGAAAACACAGTTTGTGGCTCTGGCCAGTGCTTTTCCAGCTGCCCCCATCATAGTGGGTTTAGATGGCCTGTTTCAGAATCACACCAAGATATTTTAAAGTAAATGAACGCATCTACACAAAGCACTTCCATTTTCTGGTAAAAAATGCTCTATAAGCAATCCCAAACACTATCATCTAAGTTTTTGGAAAGCAAGTGAAACTGTCATCTTCATGGACCTATTTAATCTGCCCTTACATGGCGACATCCCCCATGACATTCCCTAACACCACATATGTGCTGCAGCTACCCACCCTAGCATCTATATTTATAACTCTTTGTTTCATTGCACTCGGGTTGGCTTGAGATGTATTCACAAAGCCAATTCCATTAATTAGCAATTCCACACTTCTATCACAATCTGGCAATGATGAGTTGAGGGGGAAAAGTGTAAGAAATGAGTTGATCGTTTACCTCCAAGTCATCATCGGGGATGGCCGTTCTCCACTTAATGTTCCACCTGATGTGCTCATAGGCATTGACCACAACTTCGATGGCTTTGGGACAAGAATGGCAAGCCTGGATCACCTGCAAGGGGGGGGGAGATTCACATGCATTCAATGCTCACATACGTTTTTGTTTTCAGAGATATCAAGAATCTATAAGTCTATGAGAGTTTGTGGAGTTCCAAAGTGATTTTGAGGTTACGAAGGCCTTTAAGTACTCAAACACATCACCAGCCTTCATTGTGGGTGGACAGGTTAAGAAAATCGAACCAAACCTTTTCCACCATCCAGGAACAAATAATAAAGGGTGCTAGCAGATAAGGTGGGAACCTGAAGACTTGATTTTTCTGCCCAGAATTAAAGGATTCCTGGCCAAGATGCTGATCTCAGATGATAACGTCCAGGTGTGTTGGAGGCTCCTCTAGCTCAAAAGAAAATTCCATTATGAAAAACACTAATTTCCGGTGAAGACCCATTGTAAGAATGGGAGGCCAAAACACATGATGAAACAAGATTGATGGAGCTATATAGGTGATCCATATGTTCAAGTTTTAGATTGTATGCTTTAAAATCTGATATCCTAAAAATTGTAATGGGGACAGATGCATGAGTTGACTTATAGAAAGATTTCTTATAAAAGATGAGTTCAACTTCAGATCCTACATGACAGAAAGGTGGTGGTGGAATGTAATCAGTTTTAATGTATTTCAAAAAATTTTATTGAAAAATAAAATTAAAAGATATTTATTTTGGGCTCAGCAAGGTAGCCTAGTGGCTCAAGTCCTCCCTTTGCATGTGCCAGGATCCCATAGGTATGATGGTTCTAATCCCAGCAGTCCCACTTCCCATCCAGCTCCCTGCTTGTGACCTGGGAAAGCAGTCAAGGACGGCCCAAAGACTTGGGACCCTGCACCCACGTGGGAGACCTGGAAGAGGCTCCAGGCTCCTGGCTTTGGATCAGCTTAGCTCCAACTGTTGTGGCCACTTGGGGAGTGAATCGATGGATGGAAGATCTTCCTCCCCTCCTCTCTGTATATCTGACTTTCCAATATAAATAAGCAAACAAATAAATAAACCTTATAAAAATATATTTATTTTGATGCAAAAAAGATGAAATCCATGCCCAGTTTTTTCATAGCACATTTTCCATGAACTTTGTGAACATCTGTTCAATTTCTCAAAGAGGGTTGCTTCAGGGACCACAACAAAATGAAGCTTGATTACTTCTCTTGTTCAAACAAACCTATTCCCTGGAGCCTTCTTCCCACTCCTGGAGCAATGCTCCAGACAGGGGCACGCCACACCCACTCCAAGTTGATCCCTAATAATAGGACATCCTCTAGTCATTCAAGGCTCTGAAACAATGCCTGTTCATTAATATAAAGGTCTGCTTTCATTAAATAACTAAAACTCCAAATTTTATTCAAGATGAAGGTAAGAGGAGGTTGAGTTCCTCCTAGAGGCCAATAGAGGATGGTAAACTTCAAGTGAAAACCATGTTTTATTTTGTTTTTTCTCATGACAATGTCTTCATCTCCATAAAAAAAAAAATAAGACACAGAAGATGTCCCTGGGGGATGGCAAGATGAAGATGTAAATCAGATACCACCCATGTTTGTGCTTGGCTGGAATCTACGTTAGTACAACGGCAGAAGGAAGAGAATCATGGTCTACCCAGTGGGAAATCATTATAGGCAGGAGAGAGGAAGAAAGAGAAAGAATGGCTATGACTTAATAAGGATTTGCTGTCTGCCAGAGACTATGTCACTTCTTCACATACCCTAGACTGCTGTCTTCAAACAACCCTAGCATCTAAGTCCTGGAACTGTCTGCCGTGAGCAGACTTAAAACCAAAGGCTGGGAACTCTGGAATTTAACTGGTAAGTAGCAGTCAGTACTCAAACACGGGCCAGTGTGACTCCACACACAAAAAAGAGCTAAGGTGGTTAGGGTAAAAACACATGAGGATACATCAGGTGGCTCTGAGCCCTGACTCTCGAAAGTCTTGACATGCACAAAGTCCAAAGCTCTCCCTGCATGACTTGCTTCTGCTGATACACTGAGCACTAAGTTTTCTGCTGACAGGAGACTCAGTTCCTGAAGCATAAAAGGCTCGACTCAGCCTGACACCTCTCCCAGTAGCCTTCACCACCTCTTTCTAGAACAAAGGCAGCTGGACAAACGTTCTTAAGGCCTCGACAATTACTTCACCAGAAAACAAAAAGAGTCTTAGAAATGGCCCAGTACAGTAGCCTATTGGCTAAAGTCCTTGCCTTGCATGTGTTGAGCACTATCCCCACTGCTTGACTTCCCATCCAGCTCCCTGCTTGTGGCCTGGGAAAGCAGTAAAGCCTTGGGACCCTACACCTGCGGACAGACCCAGAAGAAACTGCTGGCTTCAGATCAGCTTGGCTCGGCTCAGCTCCGACTAGCACAATTGCGGAGTAAACTAGTGGATGGAAGCTCTTCCTCGCTGCCTCTCCGTTCCTCTGTAAAAATCTGACTTTCCATAAGAATAAATAAAGCCAAATAAAAAGTCTTAGGAAACAACAGATTTTGGATCATCAGTTTACATGGGGCTGGTGCAGACCCCAAAGGGAGGAATTTCTGTCCTTGCAGATCTGGGAGGCAGCAGAGTTTCATCCCCACTGTGTCTCTGGCACCTCTGGTGCCACTTCCTGGGGAGATAACTGGACAACTTGAGAAGGTTTTCAACACCTCTCCTCATCCGCAGATTCTCAGATGTGTAGATACACATAAATACACTACCTATTAAGAGATCAATCCAAGATAAAGTCCTCTTCCCATCCATGTTCTCCCAGAGGCCTTCTAAGGGCACCTGGCTCTTGGATGTTGAGTGGTGGGTGTTCTTCATGATCACAAGAAAGGCTTCACAGCCTGTACTGTCCACCAATGGCAATCATTTCCCCAAAGTCTCACCCCACTCTTCCCTCCCCTAGAAAAATGCCTTTCTTGCCCTACAAGAAAACCCAATCTTGGCTCCCAAGGGTGTCACTTCCTTCTGAATTATGCTGGGAAGAAAAAAAAATCAAATGTCCTTTTGTACCCTGGGAAGCTATTGCACATCCTATAATTCTCTCTTTTCCCTTACTTTGTAATTTATACATTGACTTTCGGTGAAATACACCCTCTACAAATTTGCTCTGTATTTGGAAGACAGAATCCTCATCCCTGACCTTGTTCCTTGTAAATGAGGAAGCTGAATTCCCCAACCACAAGAGAACAAATCACTTCATCTTCTGGATAAATGAGTCAGTCTTTTCCTTGTCGTAAAGATGACTTCTCCCTGTGCAAAGTCAGGTTGTGGAGCAGTTGTTTTAAATCACTTCGAAGCATCTGCATAGTAAATTGAACAGTTTTTCCTTGGTTTTCCTTTGGAAGGTAGCCAACTCTCTTATTGTCTTTTCGGTGGCAACAAAAATGTTTACAAATACCAGCCACCTTCTGGTACCCACCTCTACGTACCCTCAATCTCTTCAACAAACAGCCGAACTAGAGGAAGGTGGAGGAGCAAACAGAACTGAATGACAACATCTTCCTTGACACACATGGGGTTAGGAAAGAGGGACTCCTACATGAGATCACAGACACATTTTAGGAATACAGCCAGGGAAATCCTTAAGTTCAACACCACTTCCAGACTATTGTCACAGATCGCTCACTTGCTGTCCAATCTCCCAGTGTTCATATTCTCTACCCTTACTTTTTAAAAGAAGAATCTGAGCGATTAAGGGATGTGCTCAAAATTCACGCAGCAACGAAATAGCCAAGTCAAGATCTTACCCACAGACCCTAAGCCTCAGGTCTTAATATTGCTTACTGGTGTCTGCAAAAAGGAATTGGGAACACCCTCCCAACCCACCATCACAAGATATCTTACTGAAGAAAAGTTGAGTGAGATATCCATTCCCCCTAATATGGCCCTTTAAAAACGAACAAGAAGAGGATTTTTAAAAGTCACTTTCTCAGAAACCTACTTTAGTCAACCAGCAGTGAGTTTCAGGACACAACTCAAGCCTGACTCCGGAGGTAGTGAGCAATGCACACACTGGCTCTCCTACTCCAGATGCCCCGGAGCACAACATAGGAGCACAAACTCTGCCACTCCACAAACGGGGAGAATGGTAACCACTGCAGCCATCTTTTGCTAAGCGCTACTCCACACCAGGCACTGGGCTGAAGACTTGTCAGATACTGCATCCTTTAGCTCATATGATGACATTAGGAGAAGGCTGCTATGAGATCACCCATGTGGAAAATAACAGAGAATCCTGCATCTCTCTCCTTCCTTCGCTCTGCAAGGAAAGTGACCCCGGGGCATAAATGTATGCAGCGTTGCGCTTCAGGATGTAAGCTGCATGGGAGAGATGGATGGCTTATCTTCCAGAGCATCTAGGATGAAGAATAGCCAGACTCCCATGAAATAAGGATGGGAGAGAAATGGAAGTAAAGCAAAGGAATGATCTTTATGGATGCAGGATGAGGGCTGAGAGGAGGAATTGGGAGAGATCCTATAGGGACTGAAAGGAGACCAAGAGCAAGAATGAAGAAGTATTTGTCACTGTCCTCTGGGCTCTGAATGGATGTGTGATGCACTACAAGGGGACAATGTAGTTTTTTCTGAGCGTTACTGCCAAGGTTTACAGGCAGGGTATAATCATTCCATAGGGGAAGTGACTGAGGCTCAAGAAAGTTTGTCTGAGTTCAAATCTATGCCTCTTTGTTCCTGAAATGAATAGCCTAAGTCTACGAAGAATGAGCTATATATGACAAAGCAGAGATAAAATTAAAACAGGAACACCCTAACAAGTAAATTAAAATGTTGTGTTCCATGTACACCTTGAAGACTTTTAGCATTTTTGTTTTAGCTAAATGTATGATGCCAACATATGATTCAGAAAATACACACAAATCGGTAACTACTCGGGGCTAAAGGTTGTATGTCCCTTGGTCACTGTTCACCCTCCTGTCCACCCCCTGCAGCTACTTCGGCTTCTTTTCTCTCCTGCAAACACGTCTACTCCTCCTCTCCCTCAAGACTCTTGCAATTCCTTTTCTTTTGGCCTGGTGTGTTCGCCGGGCAGAGTGTCCACCTAGCTTTCTACTCATTTATCTATTCTGCTTATGTAAATATCACATAGAAACAGCACCCCTCCCCAAACCAGCATTCCCCTATTTTCTTGTCCAACTTCATTTTCCTTCATTGTACACAACATATCACAGAGCATTTATTTGTCTTCTATCTCCCACTACCAAATGTCACCCAGGAAGGTCTTTATTTGATGATTGTTCTATCTCCAGAAAATAAAAGTGGCTAGGAGACAACAGCTGTATAGCAAATATTTGTCAAATAAACAAATGAGTGAACCTGACCACTTAGTTCTTGTGATGCACAGAAATAGCATAATATTACTTAGCTTAGCTTACCTAACTCTTAGGTGAGCTATAAAAATAAAATTTTCTTTCCAGAGCCTATTTAACAAAGGGCAGTTAATGTAATGTTATTATTTCAATTCTTCCTAACCATTATCATTCGGGATTCTCTATTAAGGATTTCAAGAAAATGCCAAGACATTTTGAGCTTTACATTTACACAGTTTAATGAGAAAGTTACTTGTCTTCCACTAAAATATTGAGGATTAAGGGAAGATTCCCCACTGAGGTTATAGGCCACAAAACTGCTATGCCTTTGCTCCGAGCAGGTGCATCACTTGGAGCCTTCTGACCCTCAATGCAAGCATGCTAGGTCACAGACAGAACTTAGCTATGAACTGAGTAAAACTTCTGCCACTTGATTTTCAGTGATCTTGCTTTAGGTGGCTAGTTCCTACTTCAAACTTTTCTACTGCTTGCTAAAGTTTTAGAATTGAGGGGCATGCCAATTACAGTGTGATTTATTTTTTTTACTTTAAGGTAAGCTACATTTTGGCTACCAGATTCATACGTTCAACTTAATGAAAAACTCTCTCTCTCTCTTTTTTCTCTGTTCCCAAAACATGCTCCCCTACTGTATTATTTACCATGGCAGACTCAAATTGTCCCTTCCTGCATGTGTCTTTCTTGCTGGATTCTAAGCTCCTTCAGGGTGTCAGGTCTGCGTCCTGCTGTGAGCATCTGCTCCCTGCCAGTCCATCAGAGGTTACAGAGCAAGAATCTTAAAAAGAGGCTGTGCCGGACAGATGCTGGCAGCAGAGTGTCTATGGCTGAATCCTGGTGTGGGCACTGTGTGGGGGTTCAGTTTAGTTACTCAACATCTCTGTGCTTCCATTCCCCCTCGGTAGAGTAACAACAGTATACCTCTTAACAAAACTGTTGTTAGAATGAGCTGTGTTAGCTAACAAACACACAATTCTTGTGCCAGGGTAATTAGTTCATTATATGTAATAAATACATTTATAGTGCTTCATAAATACTAGCATTCAGTAAGCTGGAAGACTGGATGGCCCTTTCATGGTTATCAGCCAATTCCAAAGCAGTCTGAGTCATCATATCAGACATTTTGCTTAAACATGGCAAATGTGTGTCTGTCTGACACCATTCACCTCGCAGGAGCCATCTCCAGGTGACCGGTGTTCAGACAAGATGCTAAAATTCAATGCATCACTCGTGTTCACATCCCTAGCTTCCTGATCCGGGCTCCATACAAACCTGCACAGGGGTGAGACAGCTAGGAATAGATGTATAAATGAAGAGCCTAATGGAAGACCCTAAGACCTTGGTCTCCAACAAGCTTGCAGGAAGCTTCAGGGCCGTCTGGCAAAGTATGCTCAGTGCCCCAGCTGCCTCACCTTGTGGAACTGTGGCGGGTAGATGCGAGCAGCCCCGTGGTTCAGGAGCAGCTGGTAACAGATCTCAGGTTGGGCGGCTGGGCGCACCGAGGTGACCTTCAACACATACTGAATGGCAGCGCAGCCATTGATATCCATGAGATTGGCTTCGGCACCAGCTTCCAGCATCATGTGCATGAGGACGTGGTCACAATTCCAGGCTGCCTTGTGCAGGGGAGACTTGAAGTCATCATCCCGAGCATTGACCTCGGCCTTGTGGTCGAGCAGCATGCGGCAGATGAGGTGGTGCTCTTGGCTGTACTCCTGCTCTTTGAAGCGGAGGGACCAGTAGGCAGCAATGGCCAGTGGGGTCTCCATGTGCGCATTCACGCTGTCCACAACAGCGCCATGCTCCACGTAGAAGGCCACCAGCTCTGAGAGGCCGAAGTGGGCAGCTGTGTGCAAGGGTGTCTCTTCATCCTGATTGTTGGTCTTCATGTTCACATTGGCCCCTGTCAAGAGAAATGGAAGAAACGATGATGATTTAATTCTACTTCATGGTCACAGTCTCTCAAGTTCACCAAACAAGAGTGTTGTCATTGATTCTTTTAGTCTCTGGCAGCCAATCATTATCCACTTCTGCTACCACCAGGTTCCACTTCTGGTCCCCAGGAAAATCACTCCTTGGAAACAACCAGCAAATATACCCAGGTCCAAGAACAAAGGGTTGTTCCCAGAAGGTTGGCATTGTTGAATTTGAGTTATTACTCACAGAAGGACTTGAAAACATCAGCAACTCCTCAACCTCTGTAGTTCTTATGAATAAATTAGCCAATACGATGTTAAATACAGACCACTTAGCAGCCTTTAAAGCTGATACAATCACTTCAAACATCATCAATTTTTGTGACTGTTTTTCCTGCAATGTAGGCAAACTTTAGTGTATGGAAACTGTGCTTGCCCTTGACTGAAATGGCAGGATAGAGCCAACTACACCTACGAGGTTTCCTTCTAACACAACAGGAGGAAACTACACACACACACAAGTTCACTCCCAAGCTAGCCTCAAGACAACAGAACCTAGCATAACAGGAATATTAACTGAAAGAAACACATTCAGAAATTATAATGCATTTGATTTATGATTGACAAAAGATAATAAAAATATGAATTGTTTTGTGCTTGGAAAGCTCTTTAGAAGTTACTGGTTTTAATCCACTTATTTAACAAACCAGGAAGCTGAACTGAATTTCATTTTTCTGCTAGGGAATGTTAACTACTAGAATGGCCAACTTGAAAACCTGAAATTTCCCTTCCTTGCTTAATTGAACGGGATGAACCTAAGGGGCCACCACTATAATCAGTTCTATTGGAAATTGTTATAGCTTCAAGTATAAATCAGAAGAGATTATTATTTATTCCAGCAACTACTACTTATTAAGCACTTAACTACATGAACATTCTAAGCTAAATGCTATAAAAACATGGCCTCATTGAACTTTCACAGCGGTCCTTTTCAACAGGTGCAGTTTTTATCCTGATTTTACAGATGAAGAAATTTATACTTGGAAAGGTCAAAAATTTCTCCCAAAGTACACCTCAGTAGCAATCAAAGCTGAAGTCTGAGCGAATACAGCCTGGCTTCCTTGGCACTGAGCTTAGTGGACCTCATTAGTCCTTCTCTGGAGGAAAAAATCGTATGATTTTTGACTGTCTTTTGGATATGAAATCTAGAGCATACTAGAGAACTAACTATTGCATTTTGTTCACTTATTTAGGCCTTGATTGATGATCCCCTTTGACCCAACAGGGAACATCTGAGAAGGAAGGATAGCCGTGCTCTAAGAAGGCCCCCAGAGGTGTCTAAAAGCACCAGTGCTGAAGTCCCGAGCAGGTGCCACTCCTGTCTTGCAGAAGGCAGGATTGTAACCCAAAACCATCAGTGTCTTGCTTGAGAAGTTCTGGCTGAGGTCTGCCTTCAGGCCAGCTCTGCTGCGGTGCGAAGCGTCCTGTGCAGGGTTCCCATGCAGAGCCAGTCGGAGCACTGGAGCACTCCCAGGAAAGAACCGAAGCAAAGTGTCTGGGCGAAGCTGTCAGGATCACCTTGGAACAAACCACACTGTTTTCTAATGGACTTGGAGGTTGAACATTGTTCCTAAACTTCCCCCTGCAAGTAGCCAGGCTGTATAATTTCGTTTTCTGAGTAGCAGCTCCTTGCTTTTAGACGTGAACCGTGTCCTGGGGTACAATTCTTCTGGGGAGTCAATAAAATAGGAAAATTTGATTACTCACTGATTTGAGACCTTGGGATTTATTCGAGAAACTAGGAGCCAGAAATATATGTTCTTTGGAGCTTTTGAAAGCATGTTTTAGAGGTGGATTGGAGCCCACCCCTGATGGAGCTTCCCACAGATGCACATCCTGGGAGGTAGCGATGGTTCTGGTGTTTGGATCATTGTCGCTCATACAGGAGACCTGGATTAATTTCCAAGATATTGGCTTTCACTATTGCAGGCAACTGGGGAGTGAACTAGTAGATGGAAAATCTGTCTCTTTCCCTGCCCTCCCTGCCTTCTTTCAAACAATTTGGAATGTGAATTGGCAAGGGGCAAATCTCTCTGCAATCTGCCTTTCAAATACAAATAAATAAATTTTTTTTAATTGCAGTTTCAGGCCTGGCAAGGTAATCTTGTGGCTAAAGTCCTTGTCTTGTATGTGCTAAGATTCCATATGGGTGCCGGTTCATGTGTCTTGGCCACTCCTCTTCCCCTCCAGCTCCCTGCTTGTGGCCTGGGAAAGCAGTCAAGGACAGCCCAAAGCGTTGGGACCCTGCACCCGTGTGGGAGACCTGGAAGAAGCTCTTGGATTTCTGGCTTCCTGGCTTCACATCAGCTCAGCTCTAGCAATTTTGGCCACTTGGGAAGTGAGCCAGCATTTGGAAGATCTTTCTGTCTGTCCTTTTCTCTGTGAATCTGAATTTCCAATAAAAATAAATCTTTTTTTAAATATCAGTTTTATATCCACTAGGATAGCTATGATAAAAAAAATGCACAGACAAGCAGTGTTGGCAAGAATGTGGATCAATGGGACTCCTTGTACACTGCTCTCAGAAATATAAAGTAATACTACCACTTTGGAAGACAGCATGGTGAGTGTTTAAAAAGTCAAACACAGTTTTACCAAACGAGCCTCAAATTCCAGCATCTTAGCATTCCTAGAAATATAATAAAGACAAATGGGTTCACATAAAAACTACATAAGTGTTCATAGCAACATAATAATAAGGTAATAATACCAGTCTGAAGTGGAAAGAACTCAAATGTCCATAACTGATGGGAGGACGAAAAAATTATAGTATACTTAATGCAACGGAATAATATTCATTAAAAAAGAATGAAGTGCTGATGTGTTTGTTTCACAAGGAGAAATCCAAACACAGAAGCTCAACTCTTAAAGTTGTCCATTTACACAAAACCTCCAGAATCAGCACGTCCCAGAGAAGGTAAACAGGCGGTTGCTGGGAGCAGGGACGAGGACATGGTGAGGCTAGTTGCTGACAGCCACAGGACAGGCTTCCTGCTGGATGAAGAAATGCTCTGACTTGCATATGGTGGGGGACACAGAACAAATATTTACAGGGCCCCTGCTTTGTACCATCAAGTCTTCCAGGTTCTCGGGCCAGGCCGGTAAACAGGACAGCGAATATCGCTGACTTCACAGTCCCAAATCACTTAGCACCAGGCATCCACTCTGTAAAATGCTTGTCAGGTGATTTCTGTCACTGTGCAAACATCCTGGAGTGCACTTAAACCGTGCATCACCTAGCTACCACACACAGAGGCCTACTGCTTCTCTACCATACACCTGTGCGGCCCATTACTGTGTGCTGACCACTGCGGGCAAGCGTAACCCAAGAGTCAGCAATTGTGTATCCAAACACATCCAGGCATGAAAAAGGCACAACAACAATATTAGGTAACAGAAATCTCTTAGCTCCATGATAATGTGTTTTTTGAGATCACTGTGGTTTATGCAGACTACCATTAGTAGGATAGAGTGAGGCAGTATTGGAAGCCATGGGACTAAATGGGACCATACGGGTTTGAGCTCAGATGGTGAAAAGATGCTTTCAGCAGAGCATGAGGGTATGCCAACATGGACGGAGCCCCAGAGCCAGTAGACAGGGCAGAACAAAGGCTGGTGGGTAAAGCAGCACACCAACAACCTGGCTCTGTACCTGCTTATTAAAACAAACCACTTCACTCTTGATCTATTCTCACGGTTCGTCACCCTTCAATAGCTACCTGTATGCATGTAAAATATATATATATTTTTTAACTACAGCAAAAATAGGAAGCAAATATCAAAGACTATTTCCTTGTGTCTCCTGAAGCGAATCTTTTTCATATCAAAGCTCTTCCGCCAACTCCTCCAAATATAGCTCTCATCCCTCGGGAGGCAGTCTATTTCACAGAGCCCGTGTCTATTTTATCATTTTGTTTGTATTTTTCACTGACTCAACCTTCAAGAAAATCTCTCTCGCTCAACACCCTATTGGAGAGCAGGCAAGAGGCTGCCACTGAACCCCATCACCTTCCACTTACTTTGGTCTTTATCTTTTTAATTCCATAAACCCAATGATTAGAATTTAGCAAAGTAACCGTAGATAAGACTGAATCATTCAGACTTGGGAAAATGGGCTACCGCCACAGTATTTTGCACTAATCTTGTTGGCCTGCTAAAGTGAGACCCTATCTTACAGCTGGGAAAGTGTTTTCAGCAAAGGAAATGAATGTTGTTATTGTCATTCAGCTGGAAAAGAGATTAAGCCTGAGGAAATTTAATAAAAAAGAGAGAGAGAGACTGCAAATTTGGAAAAAAAATGAGTAAGAACTTTTTCTTCTGCCCAGGGATACAAAACACACTGCTTGTCCTGGACTCACAGCGAGAGACCTGGAGCAGCCCCAGGGGTAGACGTGAATGGTCCAGGCTGCACGCAGACGGGACAGCAGGGAGAGCACGTGGTACACGCAGGGCATTCAGTCAGCAGAAAACAACTGCAGGAGAAAAGAATCAAACAAGTGACAAGGGGCTGCCTTCCTTCGGTGCCAACAGCAGCAGCCAACGAGATGATGACAAAGTCCAGCTCCAGAGATGCCAGCTCCCTTGACCATGACCGAGAGCGCTCCAGGGCACAGGCAGTACCTGGACCCCTTCCACAGCCGGTGGGCAACAGAAAGAACCACTGTTGGGACTGAAGTGAAGTTTCTGCTGTGGTCCCCAGAGCCCACAGTTCGGAGAAAAAGGTTTCCTGCTAACGTGGAAGAGAGCTGGTATGCCCAGGGGTACCCACGCGTGGGAAACCAGAGGTGGCACTTCATGATGGTTTAGAAGATGCCACAGGCAAAGGGGGCAGGAGGCAGAAAGCAGAAAAGCATCGGCTCCAGTTCCCTTTGTGCCCTCTGGCCTCCATCTCAGCCCCTTATCTCCAGAGAGCTGGCAGGTTCCCTTC